CAGGAGGGTCCTGACCCTTCCCAGGAGCGTCTCAGCCCTGCAGACCCTGCTCTGCTCGCCCACCCCATGGCTTGGCCCATGAGCAAGGGAACGCTACCGAAAGCGCTGAAGTCACGGAGAAATTTGGAAAATTCCTTCCCTCATCCTCAGATGTGGCAAACGTGTGGCTTTCCTTGCGTACGCTCTGTTGCTAACTCGACCCGAAAGAGGAAGAATCATCGATCTCACAAGCGAGGCAGCTCTGTTGAGGTTTCTTGGCCCTTGTCAGGCACCGAAAAGGTGCACTCTGAAGCTGTTTTGTGCTTGGCTAAGGAGCATCTATGGGAGTTAATATTTGCCATTATTCATGATCTTGGTTGATAAAAAAAGACACGTATTATTAGCTTAATTCTGGCTGTTGTTAATTGCTGTAGAAAATGTTAATAGGGGCTTAAATAGAAGTCAAGCCGATGTAATACACTTCCATCCCAGCTCGCCCAGGGGCAGCAAACCAAAATCAGATTAAGTTTAATATCAGAGATTACGGAATTGGATCTGAACTTCACCAAAGCTGTGAATCCAGGATTGCAACTAGACTGAAGTTGGCCTGAACCCAAACTGCTCAAAGCTCAGATCTGAAAATCAGGTCACGGCTTATCTGACGCAGATCCGTTATTTCGGCTACGCAAGTTCTTGCTGAGGGACTTGGGAGTTTTGCCTTTGCTTCACTTCTGGATTTGTTTAATTTTATTTTCTTCAGCACTTCCCAGAGGGAGGAAATATCGTAGTCACGTAGAGAGAAACCATTTACTGTGGCGTGGGCCAAGGAGGGGCTGTGCGTAACCCAACGATGCACAGCAGCCCTGTGGTCCCACTTGGATTGATGGTGCACTGATTTGCTGCGCTCCTCTTATGAACCCAAATTCCTTTGGAGAGCAAACAGCATTCTGCAAAAGCCTTGGCCATTTGCTTATGCTCTGAAATTAATAGTATTGTTCTCCATAATGCTATTAGATACAAAAATTACAAGCAGCTGTATTTGTTTCCAAGCACCCCTTCCTGCAGCTAAAGTAAGAAAGTGACCGCTCAACACAAATAACCAACCGAAAAGCGAAATAAATAAGAAGCCTTTGCTTTTTGAGACCTCTAAAGGAGCCTTCCTGACAGGACCTTAAAAAATGGAAGTGACACAACTTGTGTTTGGTGTGAATAGCAAGGGAAAACCTCAAAGCAAAGGCAGCTTCTCTAGGAGGAATAACTGTAAAAATGCAAATGCTGATGAGCAATACTGCTGACAGCAGGAGTTGCACTCAGTCACCTCAAAAGCTCTTCCAGCCTCAGCTTTTTATGGTTTCAGTAGGCTCAGTTTCAAGACCATGAGGATACACAGTCTTGGAAAAATGTTTTGGAAGCGTGCATTCTGGCAGCAGTGTCCCAGCCCCGCCGGGGAGCTCAGCTGATGAGGTTCAAATGCCCAATTTCTGTTTCTGGTACTGATGCCAGAAGCTTGAAGTTTTGGGGCAGAGGGGGGTAGAGACCAAAGAAGGACAGTACAGCACATTCTGAAGAATTTCTGAAGGTTCTTTCCAGGAATGTGAAGATGGGGAGCCCCCAGAGCCCGACATTTGGTGCTCAGCATCCCTCGCGGCCGCAAAGGGCTCACTGCAGGCAGCAGCCACCCTCCTCTGGTGTAAGACGAGGGGGCTGTACACCCTGGGTAAAGTCATCAGTTTTTCCTGAGCTGCCATATCCTCCGGTATTGGCACACCATTTCCCTTCAGCCATGGCCGGAACGTCTAAATTTAGGATCTCTGTTTCCCTCTGCAGCCAAAGTGAAGCAAGAGTCCCAGGAGGTGAGTCAGAGCACCCAAAATAGCTGCCTAGATAAAACATCATCGGCTGCCGGGTGAGCCTGGGCTCAGTCTGGTCACCGGGTCCTCGGTCTCAACAGCTTCATTCCATTCAAGATAATAAAAGATTATTTCATCTGTGATTTGATAATTTATGGACACTTTCTACAGCTTCCCAGAGCGTGCTGCCTGTGCTCTGAGGCTGTGTGAGGCTCATGGAGAGCCCACAGCTCTCCAGCAGAATATGTTTGGAAGGTTAAACACAAATACCAACTCAGTTGTTAGATTTATGGATGTAAAAGAATAAGATTTTCCTGCCTAGGTTATTTTCATTCCCACCAACACCTATTCCTTGGACTTGTCCAGAACTGATAGAGGGAGAGCAACATTTTGGAATTAGGCACCAACTCAGTACTTAGGTTTTGAAGTGACTGCTTTCTCATCTAAAACTGTTTAGTAAATATTTGACAATTTTTTCACCCCTTCAGTTTACATATTTTTTAATTTGGTTTGTTTTTCTGTTATTTTGCTTCTACTCCTCTTTGCTTCTATTTTTCAGTCTCTATTCCTGCATAAAAATGGATGGGAAAAAAGCAAATAAAATATAAAGTAAGGGGGGGAAAAGGAAGGAAGCCAAAGAAATGTGAATAATTGGGGAGGAAAAAAAAAAACCAACCCTGTTTGAACATTTAAATGAGTTCTACGGAAGCTCTGACTCCAAGGATGTAAGTGAATATTGGCATATGCAACAAGCTGAAAATAGGTATCTCTAAAGCTTATGCTTTCCAGGAAGAGTATGTTTAATGCTTAAAAATGATAAGTTTATGCAATTTTTTAATACTTTATATGAATGTAATTCCAGGGGCTTTGACCAAGTTCCTTAAGCTTGACAGTGGTAGAAGAGCAGAACTTTTGCCTCTGGCAAGCAGAATTGTGTGCAGTATAGCAAAGCCTTTATATTTAAAGGGTGTTTTTTTCATATATAAACCTGACTGTGTTGTGAGACAGTTCATTGGGGGCTTTAGCAATAGACACGTATGAAACGTCAAAATAATGAATGTAAAATGAAATAGTTCTGTGTTAATTATTGCAGTTTAAATACTGGGGGCATGGGTGTTTTCCTGAATAAACACATCT